TTCCTCAGTTCAAGCGTGATGCGTTTAGCGATAAACCCTCGCGGATTGCGTAACGGCAGCTTGCGGAAGGGAGCCAGAAACGGCGAAAGCAACGCGTGCCCCTAACTCAGGCCAGCTCCCCTGACCGGTAACGCACTTTATACCCGCGTGTTGGCATAAATCAGCCGGAACGCCGTACGTATAACCGTCCGGCACGTTCTTCCTCGTCGTGTTTCGCCACTCGCAACACGAACGCGAGCAGGGGGATCGCGTTTTCCGTGAGGACGACCGCGCCTGCTGCGCGTGTATACCGTCCACCGACACGAGATCGCGGCTAAAATCGATTCCCGATCAATCGGCTTAATTGAATCGACCACGAACCGACTCGTGTCCAACGGGAACGATGGGAAATTAAGTCGAGACTTAAGACGCGGATCGCGGGTCGCGTATCTAATCGGACGTGTTTCGAATCTCTTCCTATACAACTCCATAAGTTAAGACTTTCCGGAGAAAAAGTATCATTTAATTGTTAGAGCGTGTAGCACTGGCGAAACACCTAGTAATTAGAGGGATTAAGGAAAGACCTTCGAGATCTCACGATTTTATTTTTCTAACATTCTTAAGTGTACGTAACGTAACAATATTTCATGAGCTTTGATTTGCAAAAACGAGATGATTTAAGTCGTAGAGGTGTAAGAACGAGCACGCATTTTATAATCTAATAGAAGCGTTCAAATTACCAAGGTTCGGTATTTAAACGTACATCTAAATATCAAGATCGGGGGAGCAACAGAAGCCTGGTCGTGTTCCTTTGCCGCGATCGCGGAGGAGGATTCAATTTAGAGGGGTAACACGAGAAATAGAACCTGCACGAGCAACAGCACACGAGGCTTGGTATATCTGGAGAAAACGAGCTACGGGGTGGCGTGGGGTTCGTCTCCCATCTCGGTGAGCGCGGCCGATTAATCTATGGGCGTGCGGTTAATCGTTTAACCGGTGCTCGATAGAGCGGTTTCTAATTAGCGGAATGGAATGGAGGAGGCGTGATCGGATCGTCGACCAGGGAAATATCCGGCCCGGTTCAGGTCGTCCTCGGAGCCAGAAGGGACGATGCTCTCGCACAAGCCAGAAAACGTGCGCAGGATAGAGGAAAGAAAGATGGGTAGGTAGAGGTAGCGAGTAAAAGCAAGGTGGCTCGTGCTCGACACGAAGCGGAGAAGAAAACGCGGAGATGGAGGAGCCGAGAATGCGGGATGCTGCAAATTGAACCATTACTACTATCCTGTACGACCAAATTGACTAGAGGAAAGGCTGAAGCTAGTCCTGCGCTACGGGAGAGTTGCAGGCTTCGACTTGAGGATAGCCGGAAAGGCCAACTTTTCACAGAAACTAAGCAAAAAGCGTGGTGGAAGGAAGGAAAGAATAGGAAGAAGGGAGAACATGCAAGCCGGGATGCAAGCTCGGTGTTGCAAATTGAACCATTACGACTAACTATGCGAGCAAATCATTCGGAGCGAATCGTTCCAAAGGAGAACAGCTACGAGCTTCTTACAAATACCTCGTCGTCGAGGCCAGCCTCAAAGGCTGGTTATTTCCTTCCCTGGTGGATGGATGAGGAGAATCTCACGATTTTATTTTTCTAATATTCTTAAGTGTACGTAACGTAACAATATTTCATGAGCTTTGATTTGCAAAAACGAGATGATTTAAGTCGTAGAGGTGTAAGAACGAGCACGCATTTTATAATCTAATAGAAGCGTTCAAATTACCAAGGTTCGGTATTTAAACGTACATCTAAATATCAAGATCGGGGGAGCAACAGAAGCCTGGTCGTGTTCCTTTGCCGCGATCGCGGAGGAGGATTCAATTTAGAGGGGTAACACGAGAAATAGAACCTGCACGAGCAACAGCACACGAGGCTTGGTATATCTGGAGAAAACGAGCTACGGGGTGGCGTGGGGTTCGTCTCCCATCTCGGTGAGCGCGGCCGATTAATCTATGGGCGTGCGGTTAATCGTTTAACCGGTGCTCGATAGAGCGGTTTCTAATTAGCGGAATGGAATGGAGGAGGCGTGATCGGATCGTCGACCAGGGAAATATCCGGCCCGGTTCAGGTCGTCCTCGGAGCCAGAAGGGACGATGCTCTCGCACAAGCCAGAAAACGTGCGCAGGATAGAGGAAAGAAAGATGGGTAGGTAGAGGTAGCGAGTAAAAGCAAGGTGGCTCGTGCTCGACACGAAGCGGAGAAGAAAACGCGGAGATGGAGGAGCCGAGAATGCGGGATGCTGCAAATTGAACCATTACTACTATCCTGTACGACCAAATTGACTAGAGGAAAGGCTGAAGCTAGTCCTGCGCTACGGGAGAGTTGCAGGCTTCGACTTGAGGATAGCCGGAAAGGCCAACTTTTCACAGAAACTAAGCAAAAAGCGTGGTGGAAGGAAGGAAAGAATAGGAAGAAGGGAGAACATGCAAGCCGGGATGCAAGCTCGGTGTTGCAAATTGAACCATTACGACTAACTATGCGAGCAAATCATTCGGAGCGAATCGTTCCAAAGGAGAACAGCTACGAGCTTCTTACAAATACCTCGTCGTCGAGGCCAGCCTCAAAGGCTGGTTATTTCCTTCCCTGGTGGATGGATGAGGAGAAGCAGCATTAACGAAATTCTTGAAGCGAATTACAGCCAAATGTAATAAATACTTGAGCCGCGACATTATTGCTCGAGGTTGAAACGCTAAATCACACAATATTGCAGAGATGTATGTAAACCTAATTTTGTAACAAGGCGCAAATGGTGACACCGCAGCGACGAAAATCTGGTCACGAGAATAAGAAGCATGAGATTGGAGAAAGGGTTCGTGGCGATCCCTTTAACGGGAAAAGGCGCGCGCGAACGAAGGCAAAGCGACGTAAAAGACTGAGGCGAAGGTGGAGCAGGAGGAAGGAGAATCATGGAAGGTGGGGTCGCTATGGTTGTGGTCCGCCTGGGAACGACAGGATCACGCATTGTGTTCCGGCCAGCGAGAAGGCCACGCTAGGCTGACCCTAGGCTTTACATTAACCATCCACCGTGTAGTATAGTAAGTACGCGCGCATAAATGGCCACGTCGTCGTGGCACCCCTCGTCGCTCGACTCAAGTCGTACCTGTTGCACCGGCTAATCATTGTCCCCCGCATTCTTCTTCCCTTTCATTCCTGCCTGTTCTTTTCCCGACACGTTTGTTCGCCCCCACGCGCTATCATTCCCCGAGACAAGGTTGCGCAACAGTTTTAAGCGACTGCAAAAAGAGAGAGAGAGAGAGAGAGAGAGAGAGAGGGGGATAGACGGGCTTTCTTGCCGTCGTAAACAGAGTGGAACGTGGAACGCGATTTCTTCGAAAAGAGGTAGTATACGTAGTGGTTCGCGCCGAAATGGCGAATCGGTGGTCAGACGGTAATCTTTGTTCTCTTCAGAACGCATTCCACGCGGTTCTCCGCGAAAACCAGTTCAAGGAGAAACGGCAGACGGACACGCTGTCGATCTTTTCAATTCGTGAGAAACAACCGCGAGGAAATGGCACCCGAAGATCGCGAGGGAGGCTTGAGAACGAACGCGACACGGAACTCTTATGGGAATCCTCTGAATAAGGGCGACATCACTTTTATTCGAGTTTCGATAATTACTTTAATTGTTTCTAAGTCCTTGGTAACGATAATACCTTTGGTTACGTATACAGATTCGGTTTAAATTACACTCGTGACAATATCCTGTAATATCCTTTATGACAGAGCGAAAGAAATTGCCCCATGCGCAAACAGTTTCGTCTTTCAAATCCAATAGCGTTCATTCATCTTGGCAGATAGAAAATGTCAGTAATCTGAATTCGTTTTAAATCTACGCGTAGAATATATATAATTCAATTAAAATATCTATTCAATGAACTATGTACGTAAATGAATGCATTACATTCGTATTTAAAAACGACTAGTGCAATTTTGAGAGAGAGAGAGAGAGGGGGATAGACGGGCTTTCTTGCCGTCGTAAACAGAGTGGAACGTGGAACGCGATTTCTTCGAAAAGAGGTAGTATACGTAGTGGTTCGCGCCGAAATGGCGAATCGGTGGTCAGACGGTAATCTTTGTTCTCTTCAGAACGCATTCCACGCGGTTCTCCGCGAAAACCAGTTCAAGGAGAAACGGCAGACGGACACGCTGTCGATCTTTTCAATTCGTGAGAAACAACCGCGAGGAAATGGCACCCGAAGATCGCGAGGGAGGCTTGAGAACGAACGCGACACGGAACTCTTATGGGAATCCTCTGAATAAGGGCGACATCACTTTTATTCGAGTTTCGATAATTACTTTAATTGTTTCTAAGTCCTTGGTAACGATAATACCTTTGGTTACGTATACAGATTCGGTTTAAATTACACTCGTGACAATATCCTGTAATATCCTTTATGACAGAGCGAAAGAAATTGCCCCATGCGCAAACAGTTTCGTCTTTCAAATCCAATAGCGTTCATTCATCTTGGCAGATAGAAAATATCAGTAATCTGAATTCGTTTTAAATCTACGCATAACATATATAATTCAATTAAAATATCTATTCAATGAACTATGTACGTAAATGAATGCATTACATTCGTATTTAAAAACGACTAGTGCAATTTTGTTATGGGATCGGGCCCTTTAGTCAATAGAAACTGGCTTAGGTCTAGGAGATTTAGTTTCCATGACATTAAATAATTGAAATAGTTCTTAGAGATCAGTACGAGCATAATCGACTCACAGTGCGGACGAATTCGTCATGAATAAAGTTATTTTTATTCTCTTTAAGAAGCATTAAATGTTCTACCATTTGTAACTCGCTCCCTGATCTTCGAATCCTACACAAATTTCATTCAGATGAAAATATTCAAAGTACTCCTGTTATCTTGCGTTAAGCTTTCAAAAGGTGAATCACTGACATTGACTATAGCCAAGAATCGCGTGGTCACGAATATAATTGAAATTGAGAAGAGACAATTTAAAAACTCACCCTCGAGGCAGCTGCACTCGTAATCCAAACCATCGATCGTCGGACGACACGTGCCCCCATTTTTACACGGCGACGGGTCGCAGGGAATATACTCGTTCTCGCAATTCTGGCCAGTGTATCCGCTCGAGCACATGCATCTGTGAATCAAACGATACGTTCAAATTGTAGCTTTCATATTACAACACATGCACGCGCATATATACAGGTGAGTCAACGAGAAACAACATAATGTTCTGTTATACAACCCTAGTGATAGTCGATTTTCATTTGTTCAAGTATAAAAAATCATCCAACAATTTCTGTGAAATCAAAAGCTTGTGTAAGAAATAAATAATAAATTCATTGTCTCGAATGCTTGTTTTTATTAATTCGCTCTGTACAACGAGGCCGATCGATTAAAACGGTTTGTGACGAAACAGCGATTGATCAAGGCGATAAATTAATAGTTAATACTCGCTTGATCGAGCCTTTCAGAGTTAATTGTACCCCTTTGACTCGGACGAGATTCTTGAGAGAGAGAGAGTGAACGACCGGCTTCTTTGCGCCGTCGAGAAAAGTGTGAAGTATAAGAGAATGAGAATGATTCGCAATGTTGCCGGCAAGTTTGATGGAAGAAATTTGTGTCGATTACACAGTATGTACGAACAAACACGGGGGCCACTGCAATGTCATGGACGTATACTGTCAATTGTGTACAAGAAATGTAACATGATTGATAAATTGACTTTGATAAATAAGGTGCTTAAATAAGTTGTGCTGGAATTTTACAAAGAATTGTAAATACATTGAACGAAATGTTATAATTGGATTTACATTGAACACGGGTTCCATGTACAATTTACTCTGAATCGACGACTACTCGGCTCCAAGAATTTTTCCCACGCATATAAACAAGTTACACGGCAGTAAGACATTTTCCAAGTTGCTTGTATACACGAGCCGAAGAGGCTCTGCTAGGAAACGTTCCCACTCTAATTCCTGTTCATCCGAGCATAAAAGTTCTACTTATAGCTGTTTAATAAGACGAATTCTGTCGCGAGCAAAGATAAAATCATCTTAATGATATACGAATTTAATAAACGGACTTTGCTTAAAAAATATGAAAGCTTACAAGTGTCCTACAATGTGAAAGAAATCTGAATGAATTACAGGCAATAGTTTCGTGCAGAATGAAAACAGTATTGAGGATGTTTTGAAAACCGGCGACCAATCGATCATTTTAGCAAGCATACAGCCATGGAAACGCGAACCCTCCCGATCAGTTTCTCACAGTTCTCCATTCGTCGACTCTCATCAAGGCAACGCGAGACCAATGAACCGCCGCGTGTTAACTATTGAAACAATCAATATTTATAATACCGGTTCCCAGTCGTAGCGTCAACTTTTTACATTGGACGCGACACTTTTTGCACGCATGCCTATGCACATTTCCCAAGCGATAAACTGCGCGAACTATACGAGTACGCATTAATATATCAGACTCCGTTTTAACCTGACAAGATGTATGCACCGAAAAAACTCGAATGCGTATGCAGTAATAAGTAGACGGCATATTTATGGAAATTTTAATTGCACTTTTATGACAAGATTACGTAGAAATAAAAGTTGAATAAAAATCAGTGTCATAAGTAGCGATGGAATCTGAAACGCCTCGAAACGCATCGAATTTGTCACGCTACGAAAATTTTCATTTAATTAAGAGAGACGCACCTCGAGCTGGCTGCCAGAAGGAGTACCAAGAACGCGTGCGTGAGATACATTTTCGCTCGAAATCAAATTCCCTCTGGTCACACGGCTAGACGCTCTCCTCATATTTTAAAGGAAACTCGGTGAGCGTTCCCTCCGTTTCCAAGAAACACTATCATCGATGCGAGATTTGCAGAACCACTATCGGTGAGCAACCAAAAGGACAAGGTAAACACAATCACCGTAAATGTATACACCTTACACTACCGCTCGGACGTTTACATCCGCGCGACGAAAAGAATATATTCACAAGTTCACACTCCAGATTCGCCGATTGCACTAGGTTTCCTAATATCACAAAAGTTGACGAGTATCCAGTGACAGAACGTCCGATGATAAGCATATAAAAACGGGGTACGCGTGTATACTGTCTCTTGAGTAAGCGTACGCGATAAAAAAATTGCAGCCTGCACTTCGTTCCGAGACCTCGCAGTCGATGCCTTATCACCGGTTCAATTCTGTCACGAGCATATGGCGTTTTCCTCTTTGCGACGCGTGTAACAGCTTCGATACCTCCATTCTCGAGTCGCGTCTCATACGATGGGACTCGAAGGACCGGACGGCGAGAGAACCGTTGAAAATTGGCCGAGCCGTCGGCACATAGCGTTCCACACGATCGCACGTAATTGTCTAACGTCGTTCGTCGTCGCTGGTGCCACCGGTACTTATGTGGGAACAAAGTTTATATGAGAAGTTTGCGACAAAATAGATTATGCGTAGACGTTCGAAGATGGAAAGGTGTACTTCGATTCGCGGAGAGAGGAGCGAGCGGCACGGGCCCGGCTGATCCCGCGGTTAAACGTGGCCGCTCCTTTTCTCACGGCCTTTCCGCCGTCGCTTTTCGTCGTGTTTCGCTCGGTCGAGGATCGCCAGATAGAATCCGTGTCGGTCCGGTTCGCGTCGAGCACTTTAAACTCTGTTAAACTCGCTCAAATTGCCTCTATCCTGTCCGCTGCGTCGAACACTGACCATGACGGCCGGTGGGGTGCGAACGAACGTTGTCCGACTGCTTCTCTTCACCATCGGACTTCTGTCATTTCACTCATTTCCACATACATTTTCCCGATACATATTTATCTATCGTCTCGAGTGATCCGCGAACAGTTCCCCGTACGATTATTACGATATGAAGCACTGTAAAATTCTCACTAAACACGAGATGATTAGAACGAACACGCTATGCAACGCTCGCCGATCTCTTTGGAGCCGAGCGTGCCACTTGCAAAATCATAGGGGTGAAACTGATACGAGTTACGAGTCGCGATTCGATAAATCAAATCACAGCCGTGATTAGGTTCGATACACGATGATAGGTCACGTCCCGCAGCCACTGTTCGCGCGTGTTTTTGGTGGTATAACCGAACGGGGGTGGAAATCGGCAGAACGTGTATCGTTCTCGGACGGCTAGCGACAGACTAACCTCACCTTCGGCGGTGCCCCGTCCAGAGGGCGCCAGTGTCGCGTGTGACCCCTCTTTGGAGTCCCCCACCCCATTGGGTTGTCGTGACTCCGTTTCGCGTCTCTGTCCGTTCCGTCGAGTGCCTATCGCACTGTCTTCGTCTCGTTTGTTAACCAAAGTCCTCTCGGCTTATTCCGTCACCCTTCGTTAGCCCTCGACTATTTCTCGTGCCATCTCGCTCTGACTCACTTCGCGAACCGTGAGTTCCTCTCGTTTCGGCTACCGAGTACCACCTAGGACCCCAGCAGCCGGTAGAAACGATATACGTATGCGGAATCGTTGCGTGCATCTCGGGTCGGGTCTCTGCCCCTGTCTCCCGCTCCCTATTCTCGATAGTATGCAAGAATTTTGCTAATTCGATAGCTACACGATATTTCCTCTCGCGAGGAGACGTGAGTTCGACGCGCGTCCGCGGTTTCATTGTGGAATTCTTTGCACTTACTATAATTTTGAATAATTCTTTACAATTTGCTTTCAGTTCTCCCTTTAGGATTAAATGACATATTTATCCATTTTTCTGTCTTAATATTGATATGCATCGTATCTTACTATTTTGGGATTTTGAATGCAAAGAAGATGCAGAATAAAGTTGATTTTAAGCGATAAACGAGCGACTTCTTAACGGGCTATTAGACTTTATTATAAATGAAAAGAAATGAACACGTCTGCTTCTCTTCAAGTCTCGTCGACAATTAGACAATCACAACAGCAATGACAATTGCCAATTTTGTCGTCAATTGCTATCTTCGTGAAAGATTGTCTATTTTTCTGGAATCCCACATTATTTTTCATTCAAGACGATGTTCAGAACCTGCGGACGATCTTTTGCGATCCTCGGTCTAGTATAGATCTGAAAAATCAGCTCTAATCTCTTCAACATGAATATTTATGCGTTTGGGTAGGGTAAACAGACCGAGGGGCAGAAGCGTGTCGTAGGCACGAAAATTCCAATTAGATCGCGCTAACGGGCGAGCTTCAAAAGGTGTCCGATTTTGAAATTTAATTTTCACTTGTTTACACGCGTCGCGCACATCCGGAAACACCGCCTGCGGGCAGAACGGGGGTTTCCAAGGCCGAAGGGGATGATCCGGATTTCTCTTTCCACGTGCAGACGAACCTCTCCTCTCTACCCGATCCTTTCTTCTCGGTCCTAAACCCGCGTCGCGAATCTCTCCCCCGATTTATTCCGCATCGGTGGACGTCAATGATTTTCGATACGTTCGACATTTCGAAATCGCGCGTAGATTACCGATCTCGAATTTCTGGGGCTGAACGCGAAATTCGTTCCACTCACTTTATGAAGAACGGTATTCATCGCTGGAAACCGGTACAAAGATGTCGAGCTCGCTTCCTCTTTTTCTTAAATTGAACGTTGCCTCATGAAACTTTTGCAACGCGGTCGTAAAACTGAATCGTGCTGGAATATTTTCGAGCGGCAACAGCCGTTCTCAGCTCGAGAGGAACGGAAACGATTTTCGTATTGTAAAATTGTTTCCGTCAGAACGTATATTCACACGTTTCCTTCGCTTCGACAAGATTCGAAGCACCAAACTTCTCAATATATACGTATCATAAATTACAGTTCAATTAGAATTCTCTACTGAAATTACAATTTGAATTTTTCGCTTCATCTTCGATTTTATTAGATCGAATGCAGGGTTGCATTTATCATTGTTTTTCACTGTTGTTTCGGCAGGTATCGAAAAGACACGTAAGAATCATACTGGAGACGACGACCGCTCGATTCCCGAGCCATAGTTCCATGTTTATGCGTCTTATATGATTCATGTCGGAGGCCGAGCGCGACACGAGGAAATCTAATCGTGGTTCTCTTCTGGACAGAGTCGAAAGAGAAAAGATATGTCAGGGTCCCGAGACTACGCGCACTTCGCCTGTGGCTCCCGATGAAAATAATAAAAGAAGAAACAAGCC